CAAACTGACTTTAAACTCAGATAAAAAATTAGTAGGGTCACTGAACAAAATAAAAAAACACTCAATTAAAAAGAACAGAAAGAAGTAGAGCAAAAGACCGTTTTCAAATATCTGGAATTATCCCTCGATAAAAGTCTGGATTTCAAAGATCACATTGAAGTTGTTGATACTAAGCTTGATACGTTCTGTGGTATCCCTTATCAGCTGCGTAAGATTTTAAATGAACAGTTACTGAACCAGTTTTACCAAACAAGCGTTAAACCTGCTGTTCAAATTGGCGTCTCAATGTACGGGTAGACTTCCAAATCAAACCTTGACGAGACCGATCTCAAAATCAACAAAATTACTTAGAGTGCTATATTTCCCAAAAAAAATCGAATCAGCTCATTTATTGCGGGAGAAAATGAAAATATAAATTGTACAAGAGCTTCAATTATACGATTTTTTAAATTTTCTCTGTGAAATCATTCGCGATGAATGTGAATCTATGACTTTCAGCAAGTAATCACTTCCGCCAAACTCTTCAAGTTTCATCATAATCATAGAGGAGTGAAAAAATTAGTGATCAAACCTAAAAAACACCATAAGTTTTCAACTGTTACCAGAACTCGAAAACTCTACAACTGTCTCACAAACATTTTTCCAATTTTTTAAAATTGATTTGCAAAACGGCACGGAGCAAATTTAACAGTTTCTCCAGAAATTTTTAGAGAGCGCAATGATAGGAAATAAAGAAAAATAAATTAAAATATATTTAAAGAAATTAATAAATAACTTCTAATTTTTCCCATAGTTCTCGGTTTTCTCTTGTGCCTATTTCTCACCAAATTTTTGATTATTAGTTTTTCATATTTTTTCATATTACACCATCATTCCAATTAAAACTTGTTTTTTTGTGCGCTCAGAGACGTCTGAAAACAGGCAAAATTTGTCTAATGACAATTTGCTAGTGTGGGTTTTTTCAAAATGTCATTTATATACTCTATAATGATCAACCTGAACCTGTACTGGAAACAATTTATTATGATTATTTTTAAGGTTGATTTTCTTGAGCGGTTTTAAAACATAAATTAAAAATCGAATCCTGACTTGAGCTTTTATCGCATGGGAAATAATTATGTAATGAAACTCAATCGCTAATTCAGAAAAGATTTAATCCTTCTCGAAAAAACTCACACAACTAATTGTCAGATTTACTAAGCTTATATCGACATTACATGGAAATTATGAAAACTTTACTTTTTGAAGCTCCAATAGAATTTGAGATATGAAATATTTACCTCGGTTAACTATAATTAAAGCTCTAGTATAAAAGAAAAACAAATTCATTGTCAAAATTCTAAACAATTTAGGGAAAGTTTTTGAAAATTTTCACACAAAAAACTTACAATCTTGATAGAGAAAAGTTCTAAACGATTTCATACACTACATATGGATACTAAGATTTCAAAAATCTCAGGATTTTCATCTTAATATAACGAGACTGCTCGTATCAGAGTGAAGCCATGAAAGTTCTGGCTGCCTTGAAAGTATTACATATATACCATTATATCACAAATATACCAATTATATATTCCCCACTTTCAACCATTGACTGCTCCAGCCTCTCTAAATTGTGAACTCAAAAAAATTATGAAACATAATACCTCAAATTGCACTAAACAATTTAAAAATAAATGGAATTAATTCAAAACACTATTGTAAATTATTAATCACATTAATGAAAATCCTAATAAATTGTCTTCAAACAATCATACACACAAAAAATAAGTTCATTAATTTATGATTGATATAGGTTTGAGAAGGCATCCGAAGTCCGAGGGATGCCTCAGAAAGCAGAACAGCTTAAAGTAAATCTCAAGTCTTATAATTAAAACACTAGCTTTTTTGAAACTACTAGAGTTTTTTAAAGCAGTTCTTGATTGGCGTTTTGAACCAGATCTTCCATGATTTGGAAATTTCAGCTTGAGCTACTGAATGTTCCTTCTGATATTACCCACTTTTTATAGATTGCATATGAAAACCAGTTTCTGATTTTCTCAAGAATTTTCCATACGAAAATCTTTTTGCTGATTTTGTGAACTAAAATTTTGTAATCAAAATACCGTTATTTTCCTGCAAGTGCTTTCATGCTGTTAGAGATCTAGTTTTGTGGGTGATAAGGAAGGGTCGGACGCCAGAGAATTTTTTTTCATATGTCTGCGTAAGCGTCCTCCACTCTGTCGACAGCTCCCCAATCCTTTGTTGTTTCATTTGAAAAAGTTCATTTAATCTGAATTATTGTTAGATTTACCAGAATGAAAGTTTTAACAGAAGAAAGTTTTTCATATTGCAAATGTTGCAATTTTTTTTTTCAATTGTACAATATTTCTTCAGTTCCAGGGGCGGATTTAAGGGAGGGGGGCGGGGGGCGGACGCCTTTTTTTCAGGGATTCGACCCCCTGCCGACCCAAAGGTTCCCCCCTTTGGTTCTTTTTAAGAAATCCATATTTGGTGACAGACCCTAAAATTTTTCTAAAGGCGCCTTGGGCGCCAATATATACTAAGTTTGAGGGGGAGCTCGCGCCAAAAAAATGCGATTTTTTATGTCAAAATTTTCCAAAAAGTGCCCAAAAACGGCTTTTTTGACCTGTTTTTCAAAAAATTTCCTGCGGCGCAGAAAATTTGGCCAAAACAGCATCTTTTTAGTGCTTTAGGAGAGCTTTGAAAATCAATTCGGTCGACCTAAAGAAAATCCTAGATCCGCCCCTGTACAGTTCCAAATTAATTTTGAAATTGCCTTGTTGGTTGCTTCTGCAGACAAAGATACTTTGGAATAACCAAATAAAATAATTTCGGATTATTGTTTTGAACCAATGGTTGCTCACGGTGCAAAAATTGCAGAAAAAAAATTGCAAATAACAAAATTGTAGAAATTTTTTGAACATGCGGCTCGTCTTGAAAAAAATTACAAATTCGAAAAAACAATCGGTTGTGCTTGATTTAAGTTTCGACTTTCTCGACCTATGTTTCGACTCTCAAAATCTGGTGTTTCAGTTAAAAATTGCTTCTGATCCGCGGAGTTTCATTCGCAAGACTGCACATGCTTGACTTCCAAAATCGAAACCTAGAGCGATCAACTCGACTCGGGTTGATGGCTTTTGGGATACCAAGAAGTGAAACCTCGTGTAGTCCAATGGACCTACCAAATCCAAATAATCCCTTCATAACAGCCTGTGTAGCACCTACTCGCGTGGAGTAGTTCTTATTTGTGGAGTCCGTGGTAATCGGATCTAACCGGTGGGCTTGAAGACTTGGTTTGAGCTTTTGATTGTTGGGCTGGTATCTGTACTTCTTTTTTCCGACACTCTTTCCGACGCGGTATCCGCAAAGTGTTATTCTCGCAAAGAGGAGCAAAAAAACAGTGTGGTAATAGTGAAAAGAACTTCAAAAGATATTGATATGTAGTTCCTTCTCCGCTCAAATGCTTTATGAAGTTCATCCACTTTTGTTCATAAAACTGAAAAAAAATAATCAAAAAGGTTTAATAATTTAGCGGTTTGTTTTCACTGCCTTGCATGTTTCAAATTGGAGTCATTGATAAAAAAAAAACTTGAGTTAACGACGTTTTGACTGTTTTTATTCACTTATTTTACAAGCTTTAAAATCTTTTTTGTTGGTTTTTTAATAAACAATTAAACTAAGAAGGTTTCTGAGGTATCAATTAGAAAAAGTCAAAAAAAAGTCAGAATTACAAATACGGAACTAAGTTTCTGAACCGAGAGCAAATTGCTCATAATCGAGTATTTTGTCATTATATATTCAGTATCTTTAGAATTACAAAATAATTGATTATAATCCGTTAAAAATGGACCATAATCTTAACCATTATCTGTCAATATAATCCACTTTACTCAATTATAATTTATTAGAACGGATTTTTTGAAATTATTTTGATGAATTTTACTTGTATTTTCTTTTAGATTAATTTAGGTCTACCCTGAAAACAATTTTACTTTTAGATGAATATTAAACCTATCCTGAAACAATTAAGTTTCATTTTTTAAAAACTATACGGATTTTATCAATAATCTTTCAAAGAGCAGTTTGGACCATTTTTATCATAAGTTTCTTGACAATTATATTCTGGGTTGCCCTCTCAAACTTTTACCAATCATAAATTAATTAACTATTTTTTGTGTATATAATTGGTTTGAAAATAATTTATTAGGACTTTTATTATTATTAATAATATTTTAAAATAGTGTTTCAAATTAATTCAATTTTTCTCAAGTGTAGTTGGTAGGTATTTTGTTTCATAATTTTTTCGAATTCATATCTTATATTTTTGTATAGATTTTAATTATTTGTGATTTTCCTATTTTTACAATTCTCAAATCATGGCAGTTTGAAAATTTGTTTAACTTTTTTTTACCTAACTCGCCATTCGCCCAACCCCTTCCACCCACCTTTAAGTAGGGGTTGAGAGGCTGGGGCAGTCAATGGTTGAACGTGGGGAAGATTATATATACTTTCAAGGCAGCCAGAACGTTCAGGGCTTCACTCTGATACGAGCAGTCTCGTTATATTTAGATAAAAATCCAGAGATTTTCGAAATTTTAGTTTCCATATTTAATGTATGAAATCGTATAGAACTTTTTTCTATCAAAATCGTAAGTTTTTTGTATGCAAATTTTCAAAAACTGTTTAGAATTTTGGCAATGAATTTGTCTTTCTTTTATACTAGAGCTTTAATTAGAGTTAACCGAGGTAACTATTTCATATCTCAAATCTTATTGGCGCTTCAAAAAGGGAAGTTTTCGTAATTTCCAAGTAATGCCGATATAAGCTTACTAAAGCTGACAACTAGTTGTAGGAGTTTCCTCAAGAAGGACTAATTCCTTCCTGAATTAGCGATTGAGTACCATTACATAATTATTTCCGATGCGATAAAAGCTCAAGTCCGGATTCTATTTTAAAAAAATTAGGCATCTGATTACTTTTTTTCTAATTATTGAGAAACAAGTATTCAAAAATCTATTGATAGGTAAATATTAAAACTAATAATTATTTATTACAAAAAAAGAACAAGAAATTTAAGTTTTAAGTCAATCAAAATTGAATTTGGCGGTTGTTGGGAGTGATAAAATCGCAATTTTTCTTCTCTACAGCCATTCGGCTAAATCGTGCTCGATCAAGGTTGCAATTTCAAACTGGCCTAGGGATTTTAAGATGTCCACAAGTTGGCCTATAGAGTTTCTATCGCGATGTCTTGCTTCCCAGAGATCTAGAATATGTTCGGTAGGACTGGTTTTGGTGGCAAAATAAGTCTGAAACTGGTCTAACTTCAACATGGCCGCAAGATGGTACCAGTTTTTGCCATGGTTCTTATCAAATGTTTCGATCATTCGCTGACGAACTTCGTGAGATAGTCGGAACACAAACATAGAAGCTGACTCGGCCGAGAGGTTCCGAGAGTTGTCGGCGCTTCCTGATGAGTCCGAATTGGCCACGCCGCTATTCGTCTCATTCGAATGGTCAAAAATTGGCAAAGTGTTGTTGACAGAGTTCAGGTGAGCAGAGGTCATTTTTATTGCGAGTGATTTGAAGTTGTGTTGGAAGGATCCCTGCGACACTTTGACATTGAAGCTCAAAGATTCGAGAGATGCGTCTTTTTTATGTCGCAAGAGGGCGAAGCTGGCATGTTGGGTGTGGCATGTCACTTTATTCCAGAGATGGTCAAACGGAATTTCCTAAACATTAATTGAAATTGTTTTGACCGAATGAACATCATAAATTAAATCAGCAACTCATGTCTAACAATCTATTTTTTGAATGAAACCAGTTTAGAAATTTTTTTTTCGAGTTAATTATTTTTAAGTAACTCAATAATATTACGCAAACATAACCCCAAACAAAATGTATTCAGAAACGGTTGTCTCAAATTGTGTCTCTGTTTCAATATGGCGAAGGCAGTGTTTGATTGTTTGAAGAAACGCAACATGTTTTACTGCATGGTAATAAAAGACTAAAGACGTTTCAAGTTGCGATCGCTTGTCCTCATAACACAGATACGTTTAGCTGATCACCCCTTAATTTGTCAAACTAGTTATAGCCACAGACGGACTGTGGAACTTAACGGCACCACAACAATACAAGTACTTCCCAAACAATCCAAAACCGACCAGCAAAAACTCTGTCAAAAACTTAAACGTTTCACTCTCCGAAGACAAAACTTTAAGCTTATCTGGGAAGGCAGTCAAAATAGACTTAGAAGAAAGCTATGACAAAAATTAACACAAAAAGCGCCCAGCTGTTTGCCTAGGTTTTCATAGAGATGAAGATACAAAAACATGACTAGGGCAAGAGTTATCTCGAAACGTTATAGCTTTTGATACGAGACTCGAAGAATTCTTAGATCTTCGAAAGATTGTAACTTTTGCGTTGTCACTTGAGTATCAAAATGTTAATCAATCAAACTAGACTAATATTTACAACATTGTATAAGGGTAGGTAAGAGCCACAGCGTCTCTGACCTGTCAAATTGAATTAGCATTAATGGCATGACTATGTCTTGCCTAGTTATACCTCACCAGTTTATAAGTCATAATTAGTAAAACAAGGTTGTTTATCTTCCAGGGAAAAAGCGAATGCCTTCTTTCTAACTCGTGGATTTTTTTAACTTAGGATCAAAAAAGCTTCCTGCATTTTTTCTAATACACAAAAGGAGATTGGTAAGCGCTAAATCCCTCCGAGCTTCGATCGCCAGGTTGATGGTTTGAAACCCACCATCATTCATGCACGTTTTTGCTTGCTACATTTTTCAATTTATGTTCAAAGAATATAAAGTGTAATGGATTGGTTCAATCTGAAAACTTGGTTAAATTGCAGCCCAAAACCAAAAGCACATTTGTCGGAATATTGAGCTTATAAAAACCAATTTTTTCTTGGCTAGTACCTGCTGTTTATAAGTAAGTTGACTTTTCCAGAAAAACTATTCAATATTTGAATTAGTTATTAGAAGTATGTACCTGCTGAGTGGACTTGGTGATCCATCCTGAACTGAGGTCTCCGAGGGCGATTTTGAGGGGTTCCGAGTAGGACACCAGATCCAGGTCCACCGACTCACATACCAAAGTGCCCCCAAACTGCCGCTCCAATTCGTTCACGAACTAAACACCACATCTCTTGCATTTATATTTCATAACTATGTTATTAATAGGTTAGATTAGAAAGTCGATTATCTAGGAGCTAAAAAAAATTTGCGACACCGAAAAAAAAATTACACTGGTTTCAGAAGAATAAAAAAATATCGACATCGAAGCCAGTTAGTTGAACAGAAAATTGACCGAAAAATGTTCTATTATTATTTGATGAAGAAACCTTTTATCGAACATAAAACTGAGCTGTCTTCCTATTTGATTTGAGGATCCTGTATAAAGTTCACTTTGATGTTTTAACATTTGGTGAACATGATTTCTAAGAGTGATTTCTATCGTCAAATAATTACAGCAGAACTGACAAAGTTATGGCTTTTTCTGGATTCAAAATTGCTGTGCAAGAAGAATCAACTTCTTAATCTATGAAAACATAATTTACACCTGACTTCGATCATGCATTTAAGCCTCAATACTTATCCAAGTAAGGAGATATTATTTTATGCTGTTTTTCCTATTAAATGGGAATTACGGAGAGCCGATGGAAATTGATTAACCGAGGGAGCATTCGATTTAATCTCTTAGTTTCAATTTTTCCGCGGATTTGTTAATTATTTTTCAATTTAGCCACTTCTTTTTAGTCAATTATTTCAGGCTGAATTCAAAAAGTTGGCCCTACAAATATCGAAACACTTTTTTTGTGTTCTGTCATCTAGAAAAAACTCGGTGACAAACAATTTCACTTGAAAAAAAAATCAATTTAAGACTTCTCCCCACCCCCTCCCTAAGTGACCTACCGTAGTGTCCTCCCCCTCAAGTGATAATTTTGAAAAATAATTCTGTGTAAAATATGCATTACATACAAACGCTCTAAATGTAATTATGCTTGAAGTTTTCCTTTCAATTTGTTTTTTGATAGGCTACAAAACAGATAAATCGACGTTTTATTTATATTTCAATGTTTAATTATTGAATCTAGGTAATAATAAAGTATGTTCTCTACAAAGTTATTGTGTAAAAATTCATATTTTCTCCCCCCTAAATCGATTTAGGGGGGAGGGGATATTGTACTGTTGATCCTAAATTACAATTTAAAAAACTTAAATAGAAAAATCACACAACAAAGGCAGCGACTTTGAGTGAAAAGTTCGATTAATTTCATCAGTAATTTTGTGAAATAATTTCTTTTTTGTTCTAATTTTAATTTCACTCAAAGGGAAGGCTTCTTGGGGTCTCACTAAACACTGAACAATTTATTGAGTTTATTTCGCTGATTATGCAATCGGGCGCAGAATTAATGCGTTTTTATAAGCTCATCCACTAACTTAGGGAACACTTTAGACGCATAAAAGTGTCGCGGTCATCGCAAAAGCGCAAAAAAAACAGCGTTAAAAATGGGTGCGTTCAAAAAGGAAGGCGGGTCATTTTGCTATTCTCCTTCACTTTTGTTCAATTACCTTTGAGGCAAATGAAAAAAGGTGGAGCAAAAAAATAAATGAGACCTCATAATTTCTAAATTGTACTGTTTATTTTGCGCCTTTTTGAGTACTGTGGGAAAATTTGTATGAATCAACAGAAAAAAGACAGACGGAAAAAAATCAATAAAACCTGGAAAAAACCCTTGAGGCATGTTAAAATTGCAAAATAGTTGTTTTTTTAGCTTGTATTGATTTATATTGTTTCTAACACAAACTGAGCCACATTAGGGCAAAACCAAATTACTTCTATAAGAAATATGTTAGTGTAGTCTAAATTCGCCAGCGGCTTATGTTTATCAAAAATAGTGATTTTTCTACTAACCTCCCAGGTGTCTCGATAGTTTGGTATGCAGTACACTCTAAACGTCAGTTCCTGGGCTGTTCCAGAGCTATTTTTAGGGGGCAAACAGCAGAAAGTGACACATCGCAGACTCTTAATGACCAGAGTTGCCGCGTTCTGCTGGCCTCCGATTAAAGCATATTGACCTCTGACCGTGTCGCTCATTAAGTAACAGGTTGCGGGATCAACTTGACAAAACATTTCACCAGTTGGCGAGGAAGAGTTGTTGTTGTTGTTCTGAGATCCTGAATTTTGTGAGCTCGAATCGCTGACTGAAATAGTATCGCTCCAATTCGGACCTGAGAGCACCTTAAGGAACCAATCAAACATAGATCCTCTAGCCGAATGTTCAAATGATAGAACGACTGGTTTGTTAAACTTTAGACCCGGAGGTCCGGCCATGATAACCGGGCTTAAAAGAGTGCTTTTTGGTTTATCGACTAAGCTCGGAATTTGCCGTTCGTCACGACACACAGCAATGTAGACATCTTGCATGGCTCCTCGGGGAACTGCGCCTTCAGGAATCAGAAGAGATACTTTGGAGTCTGGGATACATAGCCGACCTCCAGCGAAGCCTACTTTGCCCCTCGCTATGCAGTGGGGTTCTATATTGATTGCGTAATCGGCAAAATGCGGTACTATCATTTGCTGGTTTTGAAGGGCTAAAATAGAACCTAAGTGAAAAATTACATAACACAAAATAAATTGCAAATATTTTTTTGATTGAGCAATTAATTATAAAACATCACCAAAAATGTATTTTAAGAAAACATTGGTAGATTTATATTTTTTTGATAATTTCGATGTAGCAAAACTTCATGTAATACTAAACTAAATTCGTAACTATTTGATGTACAAATTAAAAAGCTTATGTCAGTGAACTCTGCTGTGGGATAACAATCTGAACTTTGAACTGTGCTAACCTTTCATTTGGTACTCCTGTGCCAAAGCGAGAGGAACATCTTCAGGCAGATCCTCGTAGTGATCCATCATCATGGAAGCCCTATCCGAATGTGGTCCCATGAAGGGCAGAAATGTAGGGTTCCCACTAGGTCCCAATTGCACACCCAAAGTATACCCATTTTTCTCACTACCTGGCCCCATGTGATAACTCTTCGGGCTCTCTGGGTTGTTCATGCCCATTTTTGAAGTTGGTACCAAGTCGCCTTGAAAGAGTCCGTACTGAGCAGCGGGCATCAGGAAAAAGTTCCCTACTGGAACCGAACCCCCGTTAGTGACTTGGGATGAGGCTATAGGTGCTGTGCACGAGGTGATAGGCGACACAAGCCCCCCATTTGGAAAAGTTAGAGAAGGGTGGGGGAAGTTGCCACCCGCGGCTGAGGAGTACAGATGGGTCCCATTTGAGAGGGAGTTTCCGGTCGAGGACGAGAGCGCGAAGTTGTTTGGATGGTATGCGGTTTGCATAGTGTAGTGTCCAGCTGGATACTGCGGGCCTAAGACCAAAACCACAGCTTTTAATAAACAATACAACCAATAGGAAAAAATTGTCTCGCTTACATCCCAAGTCGCATCGATAAGCAAGAAAACATTCAAGTATAAGCCCGTAGATTAGACTAAGAAAAGATAGGAAATGTTAAAATGACTGACTGATCACAATCAGATTTTAATTTCTTTCATACATTATGAATAGTGATTATAATCAAAAATTTTCTATTTTGAGTGGTATGTGACAATAATTCGATGTGATTCAATGATGCTATTTATTGTTTACGAACAACAATAGTTTTAAAGCTGGAAAAAGTGAGAGCTATGAAATAATGACGATGGAAAATGATGAACATCCTGGACTTGACTGTTGAGTGAGTTAACTAAATAACAGCACTAACTAACCCTCTCTGTATTTTCCGGACATGGCCAGTGCCTCTGTGTGGTATGGCTCATGACTCATGTAACTCACAGCCCCCCCTGCCCCCTGTGGTCCCCCCAGAGTGTGACCCCCACAGATGACCCCGTACTTGCTCATTCTCTGGATGAAGAACACGATCACCAGCACCACTATGATGAACAGACCAACGATGGTAATGAGGCCAAAGTACAGTGCCAGATTACTCTCTGAAACACACAAAACAAACTTTACATTACTCAAGAAACATTAAGTGTTGGTCATGTGGGTAGTGCCTCCGACTGTCAGGCCAAACGCCGCTGGATCGAAGCCCGTCAGCGTCAAAAAAAATTAACCATTATGAAGTGTTTCACTAAGACACACCTTTGGTATTTGACCATGGCGGTAATCTCCAGTCGGAACATACTTACAGTAGTCTGCCGAAAAACAATTCGACAAATATTTGAAAATTCTCGAAAAACCACTCACCGCATCAAAAAAATCTGCACGAAACACTGGTTTATGAAATTAAAGTAGTGTATATATCATACAATAGGTGTAAGGACAAAAATCTGTTATTTAGATGTTTTTTTTTCTATCATTCATTCATAAGTTAGCTAATTTTAAATCTATTTCAGCTAAAAATCTACCCTTAGCGAAAAAAAAACAGAATCATTTTAAGATTATTGATGGCGAGCGTTGTTGAGTTCATTATTCAACAGTTAACTGAGCTTGCTCAAGGCTGCCAATAAGTCATCTCAATAATTTGTAGAACTGCTGTTGTGCTGTGCATTGATCTATCTTCTAACTAATCACTTCACGCTGTGAGATAAAGAAAGGAACCGTCCGGGATTTAGCGAAGTGCAGGGTCCCCGCAACAATGACAAAAAAACTAGTTACTTCACCTTAAAAATAACAGATTGCATCAAAAGAAGTCGAAAACAATTCAGCAGTTGGAAACAAAACGAGTTTAAATAAAGTTTAGTTGAGATTAAGACAAAAAAACTCGTAAAAGAAGACTTGATAATAAGCTAAGCACAATATGTTGATTTATTTATAGGAAAGAAAAAAATAAACTAGCTTAAAACGAGAAATTACAATTGAACCCTTCTATTGTAGAAAAAATGTTTAAAAAAACACTTAATTTTTAAACAACTAGTTTTCCTGCAAGAATGCGAAACCCATGATATATTTTGTCTTCACATTCATAAAATATCAGTACAATTTTAATGACTGAACGTGAACCTTTAAACAACTAGGCTACTTTTTAACGATGGTAACGACCACGTATAAATTAGACGCACTAATAAGCCGAACAGTTGCAATAACAAATATAGTTAGAACAACATTTTTAAATAAATTTCATTTCGAAAGAATTTGAGAAAAGTTTGTGCATTAAATTAAAATGCAGCTTATTGGTTAATTCATCTAAGTTAATTGATGCATTTCATTGTCTTAATTCAATTTAGGCAAAGTGAGCTTTCGCCCTTGTAGTCTGAATTTGAAGCTGCTCTGATCTGTTCTGTTTTGTGGTGGCCTGGGGTCAAATGCAATTAGGTGCAAATGGCGACTGTAAATAAGAACTGACAGGCGAGAGAATAAAACACACGGACCCGATGACAGAAATGTCTCTCGTTTGGACTGGGGCGACCATCAATAATTGGCCCACTTCTACCGCCCGGCCTAAGCCCACCCGGCTCAACCAGAACTCAAAAATAGGACCCCTAATCAATCTCGACATTTGAATTATACCTTATTACTTAATTACCATCAAATGATTTAATGAAGAACAAAAGTGTCGAACTCCCAGGAGAGATTTTTTTGAAAAGACTTTTTTAAGTAAGAACGAAAATTAAGCATGGCGTGTCCATTTTTTCAAAAGATCATCATCACAAAACCAAGGTGCGGTATTGTAGCAAGTTTGCAGAACAGAAATAAATAGATCTCTCAAATCGCTTGAGATGCTGGGTAGCTCCGCTCAATCTCCGCTAATGTTGATATCTGGGAAGGATTAAAATATAAAGCAAGGTCATTTTTACCTTGTACAGGCTGAGCTGGTTTGTTGTTTCTCTTCGGAGGAGCTGTTCCCAGACTGATGAAGGTGCAATAGTCCCCACTGCAGTTTCTGTGCTCCACTGATTCACCTGAAATAGAACCGTTTTTAGCCTATTAATCTTGATTTTGAAGATTAAAAACATACCAACTTCACCTTCACAAGGCTTAAAATTTAGCTGACTTCGATTTAAAAAATTTCTTTATCATCTTGTTCATAGATTAATACAAAAAAATTTTTTTTCAATCATTAAATTTTTCGTTTAAATTATCTGTCGTCCTGAAGTTCTTTACCAATTAGAATGATACAAAGCCGTGAAGGATGCCACGAAAAAGTATGATTTTACAATTAAATATTTGGAAACGTAGATATTTAACTGATAAAAAAGTGTTGGGAAAAGTATTGGCGTGCTGTTGAATACCTTGACATGGAGTACTTCCACTGAATGCTCCTTGGTCACTGTCAGTTGTCTTCAAAACCCCTCCCCCTGATGCTCGTCTAACAGCACAGTCTCTTCTTCTCACCTGGCCACACTTCTGACTACAGGGACTCCAGGGTCCCCACTCCCCCCAACCCCCGTTAGCCCCACGTACACTATTCGGGTCTAAACACAAATCATAACTGATGTTGCAGAGCGAAGAGTACGTGACGCCTCGCAATCAAGAGGTTCGGGGATCGAGACTCACCATGATCGGTGCTTGTTAAATAAGAAAAAACTGCATGTACTTCTTAGAACTTTAAATATTTAATATCCTCATAACCTTTAGTGCAATTTCTGGGCTACGCGAAAGTCATTAAACTAATTGCGTCGGCTTTTTTTTTGGATTTTTCAATGGTACACAGAAGTCTTTGAACTAACTACAAATTACTAAAAAAAAAAACAATCCGACTTTACAAATCATGAAAACATGCTGAAAGCATTGTGCGGATGAAAGGGTTTCCTCCACTCATTGTTATTTCATCATAATGTTTCACTTATAAAATAAATCCCTTTGAAAGAAAACCCAAAGTGTTTGAAATAGAAGTAGAGCCTTTTATAGTAATTGCTATTTTTTGGGTTTCGTTTCAAGTGGAAAACACTTATAAAAAATGCAGAGCTGAAATAGGTGATTAATCATGTAAATCGACTCTCGATAGTCCTATGCATTTGTACTTATGCAAATGGATTCTCAACAAGAGAAGCCTATAAGTAGATGAATTTTGAGCTATTTTCTGTTGGGGGATGTTGAATATTCCATTAAAATTTGATTTAACGCTTACCTACATAAGTCTTAGGTTGTTAAAAATAATTGATGCAAGGAAAATTAAGAGAGTTATCACATAGCCGATTTGCAAAAATATGAGCATGCGTTTGTTTTATTTCGCTCTAAAAATAGCGTCAAAAAATAGTTTTCTTTAGCTGCAACAGCTTTTTTTTAAAAAAAACTAATAACAATTTAGCTTTCTTTCCTGTAAATAAAAACGTTGGAAAAACTTGAAAAGTATCCTGAACAAACAAGTTATATTGCACCCTGTCAAACGTCCATCATATAATATTTGTCTTGTCAAGTTTTTAATAATTGCTAAAAATTGCTCTTTCCAAAAATAACAGAATATTTACTTAACTCTTATCTAAAAATTTTCTTTGACTGTTTTATGTGGAATTTTGGTGAGAAAGTAAAAAATCTGAGACTGAGGCAATTCTGAACTCATGAGTAAAAACTTTTTCAACTAACAGGGGAGGTGGGTTGGATTCGCAAGAAATCATTAACCAATGAAAATCAATAACTCAGATATTGACTTATTGGATATGATAACCTAGGTTTGAGTTAATAAAATGACGGTACTTTCCTCTTCTAATCATAGAATTACATGAATTAAAATGTACAAGTATCTTTTTTTTGAGTGTATCACTTATAACCCCGGGTTGGGATATTTAATAATCTCTAGGCGGCTTACATATGTTTAGATGTTCAGATAAAGCGTCGTAAAATAATGCTTATGGATTCGCTTTCATTTAAAAAGCATATGACTAAAGACACACAGATTATCCCGCTCATCTCGCGGGAATAAATGTGCTGCGCCCTCTAACACCCCAGAATAATTGGGAAATCCAATAAATCGGCCCAATTCTGACTTTTTGCCCTAATCGTTCCCCCTTTTACGACCCGACTACGATGCCATTAGCGTCAGTGTCTGTTTTGAACACAGCGAGACACTGCATAATTATGTTACTTCCAGAGCAAATTCTAATATAAATTCTTAATTTTCCCCATAAAAACCAACTTTCTGTTACTTTTCCCCATAAATCATATCCCAATGAATCAGAAGAAAATAGCATAAACAACTGTTCATATGATAAAAACTTGAACATTGCATCACAAATATCTGAAAAAAGCATATAATTTTGTGAAAAAGTAAATACAAATGAATTAAATTGCAACAAAGCATGAAAACTTTACAGACAAGTGAATTCAGACTCTCCGCTCAATAAATTGATTAATATGTTAATAAGGGCCATGTTATCTTAAGCGAGTTCGAACCTAATATTCAAGCCTAATAATAGGAGACCTTATCCAGAATAGATTTATGAGTTTTCGGGCGAAATTGATAGATAAGTAGGATCCAGTTACGGCCTGTGTTATTGAAAAACAGCGGGTATGTTTCTCATAGGGAAGTTGAAGGCAGGAGTTATTGAAGAAATTCACAAAATGACAAGTTAGTTCTAGTTTATTAATAACATTACAGCGGGAAGCGCCGACTAAACGGTTTTGAAAAGCCTTCTTTAATTAATTTAATTCCGACTCTTTGATAGGGGATTTTGAAGACAGTTTCCGTCTTCTGAGGTTCATGCTTAGCCTATTGGGTTCGAATTTGTGAGAATCAAAAGTTACCATGTAGGTCAAACATTTTTAGAGGCAATAATGAGAAATCTTAGTTGTACTCAATAAAAAGTATAAAAAAATATGAAAAGCATGAAAAAACAATGTTCAGTTACTTTTCTCTCAAAAAGTTTTGCTTAAAATTTTCAGGATCTCGATAAAATTTTGCTTTCATTTGGCAATTCAGCTTTTGTTTTTCTACTCAGTCTCATAACAAGATTGCATCGAATCTCGGTCAATAAGAAAAACATTCAGGGAACGTTTTACAACTTGGGAGCTGAAAAGGTCTTTGTTCGGTTGATTTTTTTAAAAAAGTCCACCTGCTCTGAATTGCTTGTAAAGCAACCAAATGGCAACACAAACATGCTCCGCTGTGGACAAAACAAACAATCCAGAATTTGAAAAGGAAAAGAAAAATATCAGAAAAGGCGAGGGGGAGGGAAGGCGGAAACCGGTGGTGCTGCTATAAAAAATGAACGGCATAAATAGCTGCTTAGACTTTGAGGCGCCATCGGTTTGATGTAAGAGGGAAGGATTTACTTAAATCGAAACACATATCCTCTTAATTCCAAATCTATTACGCGAGATAAGCGAAAAAATAGCAGGTCTTGGTGCTGGATCAAAAGTCGATCTAGAAAGACTTTTCCAGTCTGAAAATCGCTCAGATTCCAGAAAAAAGAGCAAAATTTCTTTAATATCAGCTCTATGGGGTTAACGTCTGTTTAAACGCCAGGCGCCGGCATTTCCATAGCTCTGACAACCAAAATTGATGTGATGAAATATAATTGAAATTATATTACTTTTTCGAAATGACTTGGTTTTGTATTCATTTTGGGTTTTTCATTAAGAAAATATATAAATCAATATACAAAAAAAGAGATAGAAATTCACGGTTTTTGATTTTCGCTTTATGATTCAGGTGCGATTGTTTCTCACACGGTACATGGGCATGCAAATGGAATTGCAGCTGCAACGTCCAAATAACATCATTAAATATTCATTGATATCATGTTTCTATGACTTAATGAAGATATAAAAGATACTTTGAGTGAGGATTAACAAAGCTGGAGCATCTTAGAAGTACCGTTTCAAAGAGTTTTCAACAAGGAATAATAAAGCACAAAAAATCTCTTCGAGACAAAAGTACAAAAAAAACAATTGTTTTCAAAACTGAAAAACTAGGTTCCTCTTTTTTTGTATTTTAAAACTAAGTTTTAAAAATCCAATCCAGGCTTGAAAATATGAAACAATTGACATAATAGACGGAATACAAAACATACAGCGTTTACTTTAAAAATGGAGCAACATAACTTGTTTGGGTCAAAAGTTTCTGTTGATGAAACTGCTATTTATTAATTCAAACAAAACAAACGCTAAAATTTGACTAGAATTTTTTGGGAATAAAAACTGACTACGCTGGAGCTTTACTTGAATGACGTTTTTGTGGAACCTATTACGAAGGTCGAACATAAGAGATTTCAATCAGAAAAAAGGCGGTAAAAAACTCAAAAACTTTAGCGATTACGGACTTACAACGGAAACCTCCCAAAAACCCAAGATCTATATCAATTTCAACAACAATAAAAAACATAAAAACGTATCAGTTTGAATAAGACATATTTGTGGTTCACAGACATTTAATCGCTTTACATGGGGCTTACTTTTGTATCAAAATTGCAATCAAAGCGGATCTTGTTGTCTATATGGTATCTAGTTCAAAATTTTCTACTCCTACAATGGACTAATTCAAAAGCGTAACATATTTGACCTCGAAACAAAATTTCCCCCTTTGCGATAAGAGGCTACCAAGATCCCACACGGTCACAATTAGAGGGGCCCCAGTGTCATCCGCCTCTTCAAGGTCAGACCGGCCGCGGCAAAATGGATATTCTCAATCTCCCCTCTCCCACGGAAGCAAGGCTCAAAATAGTGAGGAGAGAATAGACCCGGTGGCAGTTTAAAAACGCTCCTTCGATACAGTAAACGGAGATCTTGTTTTTTGCATCCTAAGAGCCTTTTAAAAAGTATAACTATATTTTTAACTATAGAAATTTACCTTGGCATACAATAGTGCAGTCGGCAGTTTCGTCCGATTTGCCCTCGCAGTCTGCACCGTTGACAGGTGGGGGTTTGTTGCAGCTCCTGCTCCTGCTTAGAGTTCCCTTCCCACACTCACTGCTGCACTCGCTCCACCGAGACCAGTCCGACCAGCCGCCGTCCTCTGGAACAAAAAAAAAACGATTTTCTTCTTAAATTAGGAACTTCTTAAAATAATATATTCAAACTGTTACAATTATTCTATTACATTTCAATAAATGGCTCATCTAAGTTAACTCGATGTGCAAATTGCCCTTTAATTATCCTAATAGTGACCTATGAGAATGGGTTTTTTCAAGTAAGTGGGTTTGAGAATCGATATAAAGGGCTTCAGATAACTTCTGATTGGGCTAAATCTGAAATCAAAATGGGTTTTCCTATCAGGGTGTCCTATCAAAAAGCATAACAGCCTATGAAACTTTTTGGCATGTAGTTATACGCTTCTTCTCGGAAGTAAAATTCTAGGAGCAGTCAGACCTCGAAATCCACCAAAGACATTTTTCTTTAGAATTTAAAAAAGAACCGAATCATTTTTGGGCATCCAGAAAATAAATGTTAAGAAAAACAATATCAACCATTAATTTTTCCAGAAACAACAAAATAAATTCAAAATTTTAAGAACTGTGATCAAATTTCGTATGCTTTTTAAAAATTTACATTGAAAAGTGCAAATTTTTGAATCGCTTCTGATCTCTGTTTTTCCTTCACAAGGCCGCGAAAACAGGTGACAGTAAATTAATTTAATCCAAATTAATTCTAAAACCTATTTGAGCATGGTCTCATTTGTAGCACTAAACTAACATAACTCTTCATACAGACGGGCAAAACAAGTGTTAAAACATGGTCGCACATATTTGGTCAGAATAACAAACCACTTTTTACATTATGCCGGATTTACTCTAGCAGCGGGCATGTGTCCAAGTTATAACTGGTTTATAACACTTTTATGATACTTCCGCTGAGTACTGGTACATAGAAATACCTGTGCAATTAGTTTGGTATAGCATTAGTGCCATACACTGTGTATCAGACTTGTTATTAGAGCTAGCCTGTCAAATAGTGATATCTTACTGAAGGTTCAAAAGCGGCAACTACTCCAAGTTCAAAATGTTTCTTTTGCCGAAACAATCAAAAATCTATTTTAAGTTTTAGATACATTGATACAAATAATCATTTCATAGGTTCAATTCATTCATTTATTTAGTTGGAAGTCTTCAGTCGTAGAAAATATAATGAAATATTCGATTTAGTTAAAATTTTTCAATTTTCGATTAACTGACATTTTCGGTGACGTGTCATGTCTGACTAAAATGAAATTCAACGCAAACACGTAGGACACAATCCTCTCAATTCTCTTCAAACTCGTTCTATAAAAAAGGTCCCAAATAAAATGAAATTCAACGCAAACACGTAGGACACAATCCTCTCAATTCTCTTCAAACTCGTTCTATAAAAAAGTCCCAAATAAAATGAAACTCAACACAAACACGTAGGACACAATCCTCTCAAATTTCTTCAAACTCGTTCTATAAAAAAATTCCCAAATGATACTTTTCAAAAGAGGAAAAATTAATGAACATTTACAAAAGACATTCAAACTCTGGGTTTAAATTTGAAAAAAAAATCAAAAATTGTCAGGGAAAATTGGTCAGATTTTCTCCCAAAATGCCATAGTTTACAACGCCAAAACGTCGTAAATGTAAATCGGAGGATTATCTTAAAATAACTAAAAGACAGTTAACTTCTGCTTTTAATAAATAGACTATGATTTGAGAAGCTATTTATCAAACTATAACGGTATAATCTAGTTGAAGCTAGATTAAAGCCACGTGTACTAATCTAGCTAGGCTGATTCTTCCAGGAAAACTAAAACCATCTGTTTTTGAAGATTACTTTGAGTGAAAATTAAAAAGAAGTCTCCTTTCTTAGTTCTCGGCGACAATCGTTATTTTGATAGCTTTGAAATTGAAAGTAGTCACGCTTGGGTTACAAAACTACATAATTTTTAGATTTATGGCTAAAATGCCCAATTTGAAGCCACAGAAAATTTAATATTATGAAGAAAATTATCATGATAAGGTGAATCTTTAGCATTTAAATTTATTTTTGTAAGCAACTCAATAATTGTCTCATGATTTAGTCAAAATATGGGCAATTATTTTTAAGATTAACATGTTTCATCTTCAGGTAACGAGTTTCAATTTTCGAGCTAAATGAAGTCATGAAAAACACAACAAAAAATTGAAAACCGCAGCATTTAGTTTTAACAGTAGGACGAAAAAAATTCACCCCAGAAAGAATGGTTTCTCACGTGCAACATAAAAAAATCATACAAAACATTTTCATCTTTTTTAACAATAAGCAAACAATTTTAGAGAGGTCGTTTAAAATGATGAGCATCTTAAGACTAAGTCAAGGACCTTGCTAAAATCTAATTTCAAGAGCTATTTATTGTTTGCACAAATTGAAATGAATAAAAATAGGGTCGTTCACTTGCTTATGCTGTTAGTTGCTAATTTATTCATTTATTTTATTGAAAAATATTAATAGTGAGTGAGTGACATCCTATGTTGCTTATAGACAGGGAAATTCAAGGTGTTCTTATACTATAAAAAAAGTACAGAGACTCCAAAAAATTCATGAAAGCTGTCTGCTAGGTAATAAAATTATATCCTGTTTTTATCAATCCCAGAGCAATAAAAGATGCTTTCTGCTGATGACTGTGATGTTCGAAAAATTGTAAAAGCGTGTGTTTTGATTTCCTTGTCAATTATTTAGAAACTACAAAAACAGATCAAAAATAGCAATTTGTAGTCGGAAAATAGCTATTATAGTTGTAAGAAAATACTATGCTAAAAAACCTTTATACAGACATGAACAATAAAACTAGCTACGAATACCCTCTAATTTAAATACAAAGTGGGCTTTTTGTGCAATTCACTGGGCCCAAAAAATAACTTTGCCTACTCACCATAAACATCCAATTTGGCCGGGTATGACTCTCTTTGCGTGAACACATTTTTGGCCACGCAAATGTATTCTCCCGTGTCTGCGAACGTAGCTTCGGTTATCATTAAAGTCGGGTATTGCTCCCCCACTACGAAACGAGACCCGATGACCTTGGCCCCATCTTTGAGCCAGTACACTTCGGGTTTCGGCTCCCCTTCGGGCGGTCGGCACTGCAGTTCAACTGGACTACCCACTGCAACTCGTTTCGATATCGGGTCAGATAAAAAATCCTTCTTGAGGCCTAAAAAAAGAAAATAAAATAATATTTCATCGCAAAATTACTGATTTCATTTTTCACATTTTCTGCATTTCAAACCGATCACGCTTTTCTACGAAAAGATTTCTAGTTCAAGAAAAAATTAACCGGATTCGAACTTGGACCCCTATTGTTCAAATTACACAACAGTTTTTCTCATTTTTGGTAAAAACATGATTTTTAGTTAAATTTTATCACAGCGACTAAAATATGGACCAATTCATACTGATGGTAAGAATCTCAGCTGTTAAGACAAGTTATTACACATGACTTAATTAATTGAAGAGCACTTAATTGGCTTATAACAAAGGAGCTTCTCCCTCGAGCATTATGTTTGCTCTGTGTATTGATCAGTAAAACAAGTTTTTTTAGCTCATTAAATCAAACTTAATAGTTTAATTGAGACTGAAGCGTTTGTGAACAAGCTTGTTTCTTGTTTTTAATGTTTAATTGAAGTTTGCATTCAACATCTGCGACGCTAAACAAACTATACTGCTTCAGTAATAGCTTAATTTGAATAGTTAAACATAAAAAATGAGATGCGACGTCTTTTCATCTGTAACATCACGATTTGTGACATAAACTTTCAGCTCTAAAATTGCCAAAAATCGGCCGCAGGCGCTGCTCTGAAGAATTATCAATTTGGCACACACGCACATAGCTTAGAAGCCACCAAGTAAATGAGACTCAACTCTTTAATATCTTTTGTTGAATTTGGCTCCCCTGTCGATTTTCATTTTAGTCGTGTGGTGTCATCATTTTAAAAATTATATTCAGATTCTCAAGTACCATTGTAGCAGCAAGAACGCATGTAACTACAAGCAAAGCAAAACAATTAGCGCACACATGTCAAATCAGCGCTTATATTGGAAAATTAAACCATGAATAAATCAGCCAGAAAACTATTCAAAAAAATACGAAAATGCATGAATTAATTTTTATCGATTGAACTCAAAACTTTCGTATAGGGATTCAAAAATGGACAGATCTGCTCATAAAACTTAAATTCTTTGATGCGATTTGAATTAGATTTCCTGATATGAACAGTCATAAAAATCAATAGAAATGATAAAATGCGAAAAATGTCTCATTAATCAGGAAAAAAGCGGAAAGCTTTTGCTACTGACAAAAAATTACTGTATACAATTTTACAGAAACTGAATAACTGTTCTGACCATTAAAAATAGGGACGAAATAATCATCGGAATGAACCGAGTGATACATCATCTTAAAGCCCTTTCTTTCATTTATTATTTCTTTTTTATTGTTTTCCATGCAAAATCAGGGACAACAAAAATTCATCGGAATGGGACTAATTATATATCATAACAAGACTGCTCGTATCAGGGCGAAGCCCTGAATGTTCCGACTGCCCATTAAGGTTTATGGAGCAGTAATATCATAAAAAAAATTAAAAGTAATAAAACAAAATGAAATTTTTTTTTTCAAAAATTTGAATTTTTTTAATGAAAATCATCCCCCCACACGCCATATAAAGTACAAAAGGATAGATTTCGCTACTTGTAATAAATCAATTATGGCAAATAAGCTTCGTTAAACCAAATTTGGAACGATTTCTAAGACGGATTAACTTTCCGCTTACGCGTTAATAGCGCGAATTATATCGCGCATTAATTGTCCCAAATTGGCCAAAATGGCAATATTTAAACCCCCATAACTTTACGAAAAATGTTCACAGGTGAAATATCTTTTCAAATTTGAGCTCAGAAAAACAATACCTTTCGAATGATTTTTAAAAATTCCGTCAAAAATGGCTAGTTAAAAAGTCGAAATTTGTCTGAAGAAAAAAAACCCACCCCGAGCACAAATATTCCGTTACTTTCGTATCAAAAGTCGGAACAATAAAGCCCTTTTAGTCGCGATTTGAACGATTTTTAAAAATTATCTCAAGAAGTCTTAGTATCAAGAAAAACAAGTTTATTTTTTTTATTTTTGATCTAAATACGAGCGAATAAATACGCGCGAGCAGGCTTTTGATCTAAATACGCGCGAGCAGGCTTTTAAGCATTAAGCAAAATTTTTACGCTATTTTGACGTGAAGATTTAGTTTTACTAAAGAAAAAATAGTATTTAGAGTTTTTTAGCGCCATTTTTTACTCAAAAACTTTTCTGCAAAAAAAATCAAAAAAATTTATATTTTCTCATTTTCTTAAGTTTTTCTAGTAAATTTTCGGATAAATTGAGGAATCCCCCCCATTCTCGCGTAGGGGGGAGATAGCTCAATAGGTACTTGAGACATGTTTATAACAACTTCAAAACTGTTTGATTGATATGAAATCATAAACCAGTTTCTTCAACGATAGTGTAACGCCAAAATTTACAATATCAATGCTCAAAAATTAAATTCAGATTGAAAAATGAATCAATCAAACTAAGGCGTTTTGGGTCGCTTATAGTGCCTTTTTTCTGTCCTAAATGGGAAAAAAAAGCAATTTTAATGTGCTGCGCAGAACAGTTTTTGATATTCAGATATAAGGCTAGAGCACCAACCCTGGTAAGTCGCTTTGCTCGATGAGGCCATGGTCGCACAAGCAAAAATTTGCAAAAAAAAATTTGAAAAAACTTTCTCTTTTTCAAATTTTTTCTCGAAACTCATTTAAAATAAATTTCACTCGGTCAATTGATTGCATGCTACGAACATATTAATCATGTACTTGCGTTTGTTGCTGACGTCTCTTTGGAGCGTTCTACCGTTTTTGCTGGGTGCTAGGGGGGGGGGGGAGATAGCTCAGTTGGTCATTACGGGGAGGGATTGGGGAGAGATTGCTCAATTGATCCCAATTTTCAAATCAAAAAATGTGGTGTCTCTTTTATTATAATTTTGAAATATGCCTAAAATAAGTTCTGTTTTTTTTTGTTCAAATCTTTTCATCACACTACGCAGAAAAAGCGACACTTTTCTTTTTTTGTAATTTTTAGACTACGATCGGAATATTCTGTGCAGCTTGCACAGTAACCAGCTATCATAGTTTCTTTTTAAGTTCTTGTAATTAGGAAACTACTTTGAGTTGTCAGAGAAGTGCTGATATGTGCAACTTTTCATTTGAAATCAGAGCGAAGGATTACAGTACACTAATTTTTACAGTATTCATGCATGGGTTTTTCTGATAATTGTTTTTTCGTCTGGGTCATTATGATAGAAAAAGATGCACTTCATAACTTATGTGCTCATATTGAAAAGACGGATATTCGAAAAGTCTGAAAAGACGCTTCATTGTACACTTACATTACGTTTCACTGACGTATTACTTAACCGTGAAAAATCATAATTTTTCTCTCGATGTTTTTAGACAACAAAGTTTGAACATAAATGTTTAAACGCGGTTCAAAACTGTCATTGAAGATATTTTCGATGCAAAACACGAAAAAGTCAAGAACTGAACTTATGAATGTTAAGCTGCGAGGTACCACTACTGTCTTTAAGAGATTCGAGTCACGACAACAACTTGTAGTGAACGATCAAGTGACTGTTTACTTGGCAAGTTACACGTTCTCACCGCTTCTTTATTTAATAACTCGGTCGCTCTTATTACATGCTGCGGTCTTTAACAGTTCATCAGTAAACATACCACCAAAATATTAGCATAGTCACTTTATTATCATAAAAAAGCAGATAGAATTGAATTGGTCATTTTTAGAGATGTAACTAACTGGATGACCATTAAATTACTGCTACAAAAATACACATCGCATACAAAAGTTCGACGCTGACCAACAAGCTTTACTCATTGTCAGGATTAACATATGTACTTTTCAGTTAATTACATATTTTTAGTCTTGTATTTTTGTACCGTTGGTAAGTAGTTATGTCACCTATATAAGGTGGGGCTTAAGAAAGCGAATCTAAACACAAAAACATCAGAAAATTAATTATTTTTTACAAAAGTTGTTCGTTCAGTCATGTTTTGTGTACTTATGAAGGGAGACGCTTGAATGCTTGACAATGTTACATGTTACTAGAAACCAATCAACAAGACGACGAAGATTACAACTAAAAGTACACCACGGTTTACAAAAAAAAAATGTTTTTAAAATCAAGACAAAGGCGTGAACATAAGCAAGATGGCTAATGTAACACTAATCTAATATTATTCGTTAATTTTGTAATTAGCGGCATATGAACGGCATAATTCGCTTTGGCTAAAATAGTACTTTTCAACTTGATGAAAATAAAGAAAAAGGATCAATTTTAGTTGACATTCAAAAGAGGCTCCTGAAACCTGTCGCATCTCGAAACGTGCTAAAGGAAAATAAGTTGCGCAAATATAGTAGCAAAAAATAATAACAAAATAAATAAAACGCCGATAGTTTCAAACTAATACAATGAAAATTATTTTCAAGTAAAATAAAATGAAACATTTTCAAAAACGAACGTTTCAATAAAATGAAACATTGTATAATTTATATAGGAAATCAACTTATTTTTTTGAGTTTTCCAAAATTTAGAAAACTACAATTTTGAACGAAAGAAAAACATCGGTTTGTTTTTTCACCGGCATCAAACTTGGGTTTTTTTTTCTTCAAATTTTTGATTTACATCTTACAACTTTTCAAATACAATATTTATTGTTCGTCGTGTTATTCATTCCGAAGTGGATGATAATGCAAGAGTGTGGTTGTGGTGGTATACTCACTAGCTACGCGTATGGTGGCCGTGCGGGACTTCCTCTCCTCGGAGACTGAGACATAGACTGAGCAGTAGCACTGATTGATCAGCACATCTCCACTCGCCCCATCCACTACTTCGTCCCGCGAAAAAGCTACAAAATAATATCAGTTTCAGATGAAACAAATATTGTACTGAAATGGCTAAAAATGATGGAAAAAATGAAAAAAAAAAATGGCTAAAATAATATTAAAAAGTAGAAGCTGTGACTTGAAGTGATCTATGAAACTTAAATAAGATTAAAATCTGCCAAGTTTATATAAACAACTTTTGAAAATTTGAAAAGAAAACATTTATAATTTTTAGGTTATAGGTTGCTCTTCGCTCAATTAACTTTATTTTCAAGTTTAAATTTTAAAGTTCAAATTTTTTGTTAAAAAAATCATGAAAAACGCGACAAAAAATATCAAAACCATGAAATATTGCCATTTTGTTTTAATAGAATCATGTCTTTAATAAACTGATGTACTTGAAAGCATTGACTGAAAATACTGAGGCCATCGCGGCGCCATTTAAACTTATCATTTCCGATAATCCATCTCCATTAAAACATGGAAACTATTCACGTGTAAATCTAATTGCGGCCTTAAAGATTCCCTTCGCATCAGGCTAGACGTTAAAAGTCGGCTTAAATGACAGTTGATCTCTTTTGTCTGCGGTAATCTAATAATCCAAAGTCCATTTACCATTTACACCACCTATGCAAAGTGAAACTGGAACAGAATTGTGAAAAGATCGAAGCACGTTCGATATCCACGCACTACAGAGAATGACTCACTTTTTTTTTAAAAAAAAAAGCATTCAGTAAGGATTCTTTTTCAGAGGAAAGAAAATTCTCGCTCAGAAGTATCAATTTTCAAAACGAGTTTTCAGCTCAACTGGAACTATTTAACTTGCCTAGTTGAAAACGTGTCAAAACAGAAGTATAACAGATAAAAGTGGAAAATCATTACAGACTGACATAAGTAATGAGGAAAATATGAAAAACAGAGAAGAAAATATAGATAAAACACATTTTTTTTGCATAAATTTCCACTCAAATATGCGCACAGGTTGCAATGACCTGAGTCAAACTGTCATTTTTGCCTGTCATAAGCTCAATCAATTTCTAACTCAGACAATCATCCCCTCCCCGCCCCCTTACTTGTGCCAGCAAACTTACCATTTGTGCCAGCACACCTGAGCAGAAAAGACAATTACCGATGTCATTAAAAATCCGGAAAAAATATCCTCGAGCAACGAAAAATCCCCCATTCTCAATTATAGCTCGATTTAACTTTACCCGAAGGGGGTCCGCCCCCATTTTTCCCTGTCATTGTCAATTCCATCCGATCCGGATTAAGACATAATGGGACAATTAGATTGAAAAATTACACATAAATGTCATTAAAATTGATCAGTCATCCTTCGAATTTTATCACCTTTCAATCACAACTCAACTTCCCAGAAGAAATCAAACAAATAAATCATTATACCTGCATTTTGCAAAAATATATGGAAAAAAAAGAAACAATGTTTTGTTTCGTGGCAAAAATTGTACGGCAGAAAATATTCCTTTTTCAAACAAGCGTTTACTTTTCTGTTGGATTTTTGAGTTTTTACGATTTTTTAGGAAAAATAGATTCAGATAACGCTGTCAGTCCCCATTCTGAATACCACGACAATTATTTTTTTGGATCTGTCTTGTTACATATATAGTAGAAAAAATATAGGTTCGGATTCCAATTTGATTTTTGTTTGATCCATTTTGATTTTTTACGAAAATAGATAAATGAGACTTCAGAATATAGCTTGTGCTGTTTTTCTTTTGCAAGCTTAGTCTAGAAACAGCTCCGATATCGCATTCAGGTTATTCAAACAGAGTAAGCGATTAATCTGCACAAATATTCCATTTTCAGGGCATCCCCGTATAACCTGGTCAAGCAATGCAATTCTAGACCTCGTATAACCTGGTCAAGCAATCCATTTCTATTACTGGAACTAACTCGAAACCAACTTTTCATTTCATTCAATCAAATATTGAAATGTACAATCGGAAAAAAAAACATGCAAAAAGTGGAAAATATGAGCTGTTTCTTCAGCTGTAAATGAAATTTGATTTTTTTCACAATGCTTTATGAATCGGATCCAATCGAAAACTAATTGAGGTTTCGAGTATATAATCTACTGATGCGAAAGTGAAAAATCACTTAAAAGCCAATTTTTGTTCATATTAAATTGTAAAATTCTTAAACCTCAACCGAATTTTCCCTCTTCGGGGATCTTTTTAACAAAATTTGCTTTGAAGGCGAAACACAAAGAAGATTATTTGGGGGTAAAACAGCGGTTTTGAAGACAAAAAATGCTTTGGAAGGCATTTACGATGTTGAATGACCTGAGCTAGACAGAATGACGCCGGATTAAAATGGCAGAACAAAACAAAAGCAGCCTTCTTAATGCTTCATCATAAACACGTTTCAGTCCTCAACAGAAAGAAAAATACAGAAAAAAGGGAGAAAAGTTAAAATGAAACCATTCCGCCTTGCTTTTTACAACCATAATTACTGAAAACAGAGGATTTAGTGAACTAAACGCGGGCAGGCGGTTTAACCGTTTAAAATACGATTGCAAAACATTGAAATTATACTTTTTTATTGGAAATATTCCTTTTTTGCAGACCTAAACGAGCTGAAGGAATGAAAAAATTGAAGCTTAGAAAAAAGGGAGAAAAACTGCGTAAACAATTCCGTCTGTCAAAAATCGATTCGAAACGCCTTTGGCTCCTAACAGACCAAGATTACAAAACGGACAATCTCAAGCGAACAAAACTGATATAAAAACAGCTATTTTTGAGGAAAATAGACGCAATAAAAAGCAGAAAACAGATAAACAAGGAGAAAGAGCTCTCGTTAATAAATAATCTTTCTGGATTTAATATCACAGAAAGATGGTCCAGCAGACGCTTATGAGACATTGTAGACTTTTGGACTACAGGGGGAATTGTGTTAAATTTGGCCGGCTAAGTAGGGGGCGGAAAAAACTGTTTCAATTATAAAGAAATCAATCATTTTTACAAAATCAACTAAATTTTTCATGAATACCAACTACCTCCCCCGGCTAACTTTACCATCTTGGTGAGATAATGAATATTGTAAAGTCATGAATAAATTAATGGGCTATAATGATGAGAAACTGTATACCAATGTCAAGAGTTTTAGATCAGATGTAGCAAAGATATCCGCGATAATCATTAACGGAGTTTGGATAAATCTCAATGAAAATATGGTCGGAGGACGTGCAGTCTCAATGGTTGTTATGTGGCTCCAAAAGGCTATGAATGGCTTGATTCTACTCTCAAATTCTATTTGCGTAATAGCTAAACTGTAGCAAATCAGCAACAGCTGATTTAACTTAGTCATCATATATCATGGTTAAACGAAGTTTTTAAACTCTAATAGCTATTATTAGCTATTCATCTGGTCTCCATCTAGTTGACATTTCAATTAGCCATAGAGAAATGTGTCATTTTTGTGGTAAAATTCTATCTAGCCAACATAGCAACCCTTCTATGTTAACCAAGTCATAGTAACAGATTCGCCTATTAAGTTCTTATCGAATGGTCAGGGATGCACGAATATTCAATCTAGAACCGAATTGTCCGCGTTTTCCTAAAACGGGATTGTTAAACAGTCCCCCCCCCCTTTGTTGAATTATGACTACTCACTGATGAAACTGTTGGTCTGTTTCGAGACGTCATCAGTGGTGGTGACTTGGTTCTTCTTGGACACCGGGACGCCGTCACAATAGAACACCACTTTGATCACGCCAACTGCACTGCAGAACACTTCAGCTCCGACCTGTGCCCCCTTTTCCAACCCCCCTTTCGACCCCCCACTCTTCACAACCCACACATCCTCGGGTTCACGCACGAACACACTTTTCACACCTTCGCCACCATCGTCGGATCTCGAGGAGCCGCCGTCTATACCGTTCCCGACCTCTCCGCTTACGCAAGGAGGTCCGGTTGCCAGAATCACGCAAAATATCGTAATTAGTAACACTAATGGCATGTTTCGAAGATTTTTAGACGAGTTGGTCCAGGTTCCCCTGTTTAATGACGGCGGGGAGTTCAATCGAGACATTTCAACTGATTTCAAGGATTCCAAACTTAATTTTTGTAGGTTTTAGCCGCGACAGGAACACTTTTGAGTGGGTAATGTCGATAGTTTCTAATCTTCAGGGACAGAATTCTTAATTGAAGAAGGGCTCTGCTTTGGGCGGGGCTAAATGATTGGGTAAATTTCCTTCATCCGGAAGATTTTTCTAAAACAAGATCGACTTTTTAGTAAGTGTCAACTCAATAAAACTACAGACAATGGATTAGAAATGAATAATTTAATTTATTTAATTATTTTCTAAATCATTTTTTTTTCTTTTCACTTGATAAAATGAATAAGTTTCAATGGGTACAATGTTATTATTAGCAAAGACAAAAGATATATTACGCTCAAATCTACCATCAAGCTTAAAAATTAAAAGCGAATTTATGTTCCGACCCATAAACTGAATATATGAATCTGACACTTCGACATAGTTTAAATAATAAAACTCGAAATATTTTGTGATCTAATTGATCAAAAGAAAACCTGACATTTTATCAGATCAAAATTAGCAAAAACCTTTCGAAACCTCAAAAATCAAAACAGCCCCATTTTTGCTCCATTTCTGAAATTGAAATTAAACTTACCAAAATGACAGGATGCAAATCGATAAAACTGAGTTTCACTTACTCGGAAAATAGCAAAAAAGAACTTGCAATTTGCAAAAGAGAGGCAAGAATAAAGCGGTATTTTTTACGCAGATAATTGGAAATTTAGACGCGAAATAAGTAACAATATGTGCAAAAATAAGTTGTAATTTTTGTTTTTGCGTTCAATTAATATTAATGTCACTTTAATTCTTGAATACAGATTTTAAAAAAGAAGAAGCCTTAAAATGATTTTTTATGTAAATTGTAAATTGTCTTCTTCTAGTCTTGTCTTTTCTTGTTTGCTATAAAATTGTAAAATTATGCTTTGTTTTTAGAATGCAAAGAGAAAAGCTCTAATCTGATTGGTCAAAAAGTGCATAAAACATTGACAAATTGTCTATATAATTTATTCTTTCTGTTTTGCTCGCCAGATTTCTATTTACAAAAATAATGAATCAGGTATTTATTGTTTGACATATCCTTTTAAACTTGAGCGCCACTTAATTTTTTCAAGTGTTTGATAAGAAAACGGTAATGCTCGATTGTGAATCCCGTTTTGGATCCACCCAGTTTCAAAACTTTTTTTTCCGACCGACTCAGAGCTTTAAAGTGATGCTACTTGGAGCCCATACAAGCCTTTCTATAAGTCACAACATTTCATGACCCAAAAACAACCTAATGCCATAATTCCTTATTCCAACTCTCATCCAAGCCCCCTTTTTTTGCTATTTTTCTGACTGAAAACGTTCCCAGATTTCGTTTTAATAGACAAATGTGGATCTCTTCAAGTATCTCCCAACTAGGGTTCTTAGTGGCGATTTGCCAACCCTATAAAGAATAAATTCAATGGTTAAGCATATGTGAATTTTGTACTTAGTAAACGAATCTTCGCCCTTTTGCAAATGGGGGGGGGGGGGATAGTTAAAGAGATTGACAAAAAGTATCCATTAATTTTTTCAGACCACAAGAAGTATGCTTGTGCAATGCGTGTGCAAATATGTGTGCAATTGCGGAAATAGGAAATTGTTGTTTTAGGCATCCCACCCCTACCACAAAAAGAGTGACAATTTGTACCTTTAATTACAATTTGTTAACTATTTCCCCCCTATTGCAAAGGGGGGGGGGGAGGAATATTTAACACGGTCAAAATTCACCCTCAATTTCCTGTCAATGGCAATTGGGACCATTTTGAACGTGCCCGGTTGGCGCCTTAGAGAGCCAAGTCAAGTCTGAGATTGGAGAGCTTATCAAAACACTTTTTGTCTTCCTCAAAGAGCTAAGAGGCCGCCCAATTGTTATCAAAATGAAAAAAATGGGCGTGTTTTGATAAGGGCAACTTGTAAATTACATTTAATTGCGCTCAAGAAGATGCTGATGTGAAAAGTGATTACCTCAAAGCAACATGGGAAAAGGGAAATTTTGTTGTCGCGTGTAGTTCAAATTGAAAAAGATGGGTAAAATTTTTTATGACAGTTTAAGTAATATATTATGCTTCAAAAAAGATGGTCATGTATCTTTATTAGGCCGGAAGATTTGCATGAAAAACGAAATTTGCTAAAAAAACATAATAAAGAGACATTATTCTTGTAAAAGTTATTTATGAGACACAGTTTTGGCAAATTGATAAGAAGTGATTTCTCATTTCATATTGATGATTTTGCACAAAATTAGCTAGACAAAACAAGGATAGCCGGTTACTGTGCAAGTAGCACAGAATTTTCCGACCATATATTAAAAAAATGAAAAAAAAATATTTTTTTTTTCAAAGTCATATTTTTGCGTGGTGTGAAAAAAAAGATCTAAACGAAAAAATAGAACTCAGACATTCGAATACTCCCGATAACAAAATTCCTCCACATTTTTCAAATATTCGGATCAAAAAGTTTTGAGCCCTGCTGTAATTTTGACGGTGACAAAAAATTTATGATGAAATTCAACGGAGTGCCAAATCAAAGTAATGAAACGGAACTGAAAAACGGAGGCGCATAATTACTAACCATAGTTTCAAAAGGATAACTGAACTTGAACTTCGATTGAAGTGAGTTCAATTCCATCCATAAATTTGCAAATGAGACCCATTTCAAAGCCGACTAATTAGTTGAAATTCCCTTCGCGCCCTCAAAACTCGTTCATGCCGAATGAATTTGTGTTTTCCTGGCATACTTTTACGTAAATCACGATTAGCTATAAGTTCAAAAACTGCTTCAAAGCTGATAACTTGAACATTTATAAGATGAAAAACAGGCTCAATGTTAGTTTCAAATCTGACCTTTTTCGGGTTAAGCGAAGACACTCTGTAACATTTAGACAAAATTGAAACCCTTTAAAAATAGATTGACCCTATAATTGGTTTTTAAGTTTTCTCAGTAACCGACGAGGCAAGTCTTGACCATTGAGATAAATCAAACAAAAGTTCAAATTTGGAAAGTGTATCAATAACTTTACTGCCCATAATAAATTTACCCATCACTGTTTTATATACACATTTCGCTTTGAACTCTCGAGATGTCCACAAACAATCTCAAAATTGAAGGGCTATGGGAAGTTTCAATCTAGTTTGTTTAACAAAATTTATAACCATTTATCAAACAATAGACCGCATAAGATACATTTTAATTGAGGCGTTTTGGTTTATATAACAAGCTGGGCGGATCTAGGATTTTCTCGACGGGGATTTTTAAAAAAAAAGTTTTGATCGACCTTTTTTTAGGTCGACAATGGTACTTTTTCGAGCGCCTCCGGAACACCATAAAGACTGTATTTCGACAAAAATTTTGGCAAACTTTTGAAAAAAAAACAGGTTTTTCGGCGCGCGCTACTCTTCAAAATAAGTACGTATTTTAGTATAGGTCGGCCGAAAATGGATGACAAAAATAATACCAAAATATCTAACCCTTTTTATTGGTGTAGGGGGCAAATCCCTGAAAAAATGGGCGTCCGCCCTCTGTAAACAAGTAACTTGAGTTTGAATATTTCATGTAAATAACGACAAACAAGCAAAAAAAGTCAGTAGGTCTTCCAAAAAATACTTTTTTTAGAACGATATCACTATCAAATAAGGTCAAAAATGGTTTTCTCAGACAAATATCCGAACAAAGGCTAGACCAAAAACGATTTCCATCTTTTTATGTTAGTTTGATTAATTATGAATGATAAATCTTAGAGTTAAAAGGCACATAACTTAAAGTGTTATCAATTATTCAGAAGAAATGAAGACAATTTTCTGAAGATGTTACGGAGAATTCATCAAAAATTCGAGATATTTGAGTTTGTGCATCCTTGTATGCTTCAAAGTGTTTAATCTGATCTTCTGGCGTCGAATATATTGCTGATTAGTGTAAATAACACCAAAAGCCGACCCAACTGTCGGCCCAGCTCAGGTAGTTTCGAGACAATAATTCAACAAACAAGACGCACAACTAGCAAGCCAATTTTCTAGATGACAGAAAAAGAAGTACTTGAGGCTTCAACAGATTACGAAACCTCTAGAAGAACTTATTCAAGGGAGGTTTTTTCTCAAAAAAAATGTAAAAATGAACAATTAATCAGAAATATTGAGACATTAGTTTTCGAGATTGTGCATTGATTTATTTTTGGCCGCTCAGCGATCAACGTCTAGGCTTGCAAAAATGGAGAAAGTAATTCATAACGGTTAAAACGAGTTTGAAGTTTTCGTTTTTGCAACATAAAACTATCAGCAAAATATCTATGATTATTTGGCATGAGAAACTTCAGACAAAATATGAGCACAAGAACATAACGTTTCAAAAACATTTATCATTCAAAAATTCAAAAACAAAAATAAGCAAAAAGAACCAAAGTTTTCCAAAACAAAGATAGCCGGTTGCTCTGCAAGTAGCACAGTATGATCCACCAAATTCACAAAAAACTTACAGAGAAATATTATTTCAAATAGGTGTCGTTTTATGGTGCGTGGTAACATGAGAAAACTAAACGAAAACGTACACTAAACAAAAGTGTGGAAAATAAAAAGTTTATTTAGGCATAATGACAACAGTTTTGTTTCAAAAAATTGACTAAAAAAACAAAAAAGAAGAAAATCTCCCTAAGAGAATTTTCTAACTTACTCTATTTTTTTTGTATTTTTTTTTGCTTTTTGAAAACATGAATGTCTAGGAAAGGATAACTCAAGCTTAGAAAACTAGTTTTCCTGGAGTAAATTTAAGTGTTCAGCTGCTTAATCGAAGTTTTTAAGAACTAATCAAAATACGCAGGAAATGTTTCGATGATGATATGCAACTCGATCCATTCTGCTGTTTTTTTTGTGATAATTGATTTGCACGGAAATCAAAAAACTAAAATCCACCCAAAGACAAAATTTTTCCCCATTATCAGTAGTCAAAACAAAAAGCTGAGCAGCGAAAATTTTCATGACAAATTTTTTTAAGAATCTTAAGTGCTTTAAATGGTCTGACAAGTTATCTTGGCCAGCCAGTCTAACTTCTTTTCGATTCATCCTTCTCAAAAAAATTTTAGTGAACACCTAAATTTAGCTATAATTTCGTTGAGCTTGTTAGGATGTTTCGTTGCAGTATACTGATTTGATTTTAAC